TAAGCCACAACCTTCATTCGAAGAATAGTCTACCCGAAAGAAATTTCTCGTACCTCAGAGATTAATTTGGATCAACTTGCAGTACATCTGTTCAGCTTCGTCGTGCCCTTACATGTATCCAAGGGGTCGTACAACAGGTCAATTCTTCTAGTCAACTTGGAGTTATGCTCAAACCGATCTATCCGTGTTTTTTTAAGCTGGCAAGGTAGACTTTCATAATCACCTTACTTTAGGATTTCATGTATAGCGATTCAGATGTTTACTGGAGATTAATTTGGAACAAAGCAAAATTCTAATCCATCCTTCAATTCGCGAAGGCCTTACGGAAATGGTGGAATCAGAAAAACAGCAGATATACTGTGGGCATGGTGTTATACGCTTTGTCAAGCACTATGTGTACAGTGTAAAGCATGGCATTAGGTTCTGTTGGTAAAACTATTGGAATGGTCCCTAGTACTCCGATAGTGGCTGATAATGATGTTGTCGCAGTTGAACGTCAGTACGTGCACGATCTCAATGAACAAGTGTAAGTATTATAGAATTTTTCCCAATCATCAGTGTAGCCGTTTAGAGTTACAATAATCGGAACTGCTGTGACTAAATTCCCAAAAATCATCTTTACCCTGCCACTAATCAAAGAACTGCTAAATTGCTTGGTTTCGAACCTTGATCTCATTCCAGAATTCAACCTCCGCCTTTGGATCAAAAAAGGATGGTTAGTGCGACCTCTTCTGACAACGTAGTCATAGACTAGTTTTGTTAAGGAAGTTAATACTGGAATACTGCCCTGCTGAGAATTTTTCAACATTGAAAAACTTTTTCGAGTGTATTGCCGATTCCATGCAAAAGAGACTAGAGAAAATGTGGGACAACATCTCCAGCAAATATCACGGTAAGGAACTGACAAGTGTGAGCCGTCTCAAGACTTATTTCTCAGATTCTGAACCAACTGAGCAAGAGGTGTTCTATGAACATCTGACATGTGTTGTATCCCGGGAGTACATTGACTTTCTACGAGTTTGCTATCTGTCTTGCGATAGTGAGTAAACCCTAACTGCTCTTGCAGGTCATCGTTTTTGATTTGCTTAGCCTTACAGGTGACGCCGGAACAATTCGATTGTCACCACTCGGGCGTTGGCTTTTCGTCAGTAAGACAGGATTATCTTCAGTCATAACAACAGCATTTTCATCGTTGAACTACCGTGACTCATTACTAGCAGTGAAATCTGCACCTCTATGCAAAGCATTGGCTGAGGCGGTAAGTTACTCTGCTGGAATTTGTGCATTGAATTACGGTATCGTTAAGTTAATGGATTACTACGATGATGAAGCTGGGGTGTACATGTTAGTCTCTACGATACGATCGCTACAACTCCATGGAACAGATGAAGCAGCTGGCAGTGTGCTCACAACTTTAGTTTTCCACATATACTGCGCTCTGGTATGTTGTGTCCGCAGTGCTCATCAAGTCACTAGCATCTAGTTCCGAGTTTCAGCGCCCTTTCTCAAACTCTCTGCGACACATTCTCATGCAGGTTCCAAATGTAACGGAAGAGATAGTCGACATGTTTGATCTCAAGGTAATATATCAGGTTGTTTTTGATTTCTTAGCGAATCCAAAATAACATTCGATAGAGGGGAGCAAGCTCTACAAAATGACCCCCACGTGAAATTTGGAGCCAAAAAGGAATTTGCAACTACAAGATCGGATCTCTATCCAGAAAATTTTCAGGGACTTTACTTGGTCTTCATATAATAGACATATAGTAGTACCCAAAAATGTATGTGGCGATTTTTTTTCCGGGGCTCAAAACAGAAACAAGGATGGCCCGAAAAATGCCAAAATGCCACTTTTTTGGGGTTTTCAAGTAAAACTTGTGTTATTTCTCGATTATAACGGCACATACGAAGGTAAAGTTTTGAAATTATATTTGATAAGGTTTGTAGTTACAATGACCTATGTGGGAGGGGCCATTTTTGGGCAAACTTTTGTTTCTCGCTTTCTATACGCGAATCTAGCACAGGCATATTTGAGTACTAGCATGTGTCCACTGTATAATGATCAAGTGGCCCGCAGGTTTTTTT